TTCACAGAGGGGTTTAGATGACACGCCATCAGCCAAGTCACCAAGCGTGACCCAAAGTCTCGTACAACAAACATCAGGTTGCTGGAGACCTTTTTTGACACGGAGATCCACGGGGGTCGTAGACAAGACAGTTATATTGCATGAAATTGGGTTGGGATGTGTGTACTTTGATATATTGTACCTGTTCCCATAAAATACGCAGGCAGAAGTAGAATAAAGATGTTCTCATGATTTATGTCACAACACACACACACACACACACACTCTCTCTCTCTCTCTCACACACACACTCTCTCTCTCTCTCTCTCTCTCTCTCTCTCTCTCTCTCTCTCTCTCTCTCTCACACACACACACACGCGCGAGTAGAAAATCCAGTATATTTGGAAAGAAGAAGACAGTGAAGCTGGCATAAAGTGAAGTTAAATAGAATTAACCTGATATGTATCTCATTGTGTTGTGATGTGTTCACATATGGTGGAGTGGTAAAATGTAGTTCTACTCGGTAAAAAGGGATCTGAGCAACCGATTGTTCCACGTGCTAGTTTTAGAAGTTGTTTTCCACGAAGTACTTGTATCATAGATTTGTCACTAAATGTCCTGATGTTACAAACGAAGGTTGCCTACGTACTGTTACTGTTATGTGTGTTCAACTGTCCCCACAGTGGTTATCTGCACTCACGTGCAAACTGCAGACAAATTGGTTTTCAATAATTCAGATCTCTCAGATCAACTCTCAACTATCAATTATAATGTGTAAAACTTATCTTTTCTTCTAAACCGATTGCCATGTTTAAGTGACGAGTGACCTCGTCTGCCTTCAGTGAGATTGAGCACCACCTGTTACATATTTCAAGGCGGTCAAGGCGTTTATATAACCCCAGTGCCGAAGTATACATACAGACAATCATGTGTCAATGTTATAAGGTTCACTTCAAAACGTTCATATAACCCAAATGCTGAAGTATACGTACATACAATCCTGTTCCAGTGTAATAAGGTTCGCTTCAACATATTCATATAACCCCAGTGCTGAAGTATACACACAGACAATCATGTGAGAGTGTTATCAGTTTCGCTTCAACACGTTTATATAACCCCAGTACTGAAGAATACATACATACAAGCATGTGCCAGTGTTATAAGGTTTACTTGAACACGTTCATATAACTCTACTGCTGAAGTAAACATGCAGAAATCATGTGCCAGTGTTGTAAGGTTCGCTTCAACACGTTTATATAACCCCAGTACTGAAGTATAGTCATCCAGTGTGCGTCCCCTTTATCATCACCTTCAGTTAATCAGTTAATAAACTAAATGTCTGTCCACGAACCGGGTAATCGTGATATACTTCATACTTGGATTACAGTTGAGTGGATCGTTATGTAGCCTATTCAAGAGGTATTGTTAGCATCATTACAATAGGTTATAGTAAAATCTATACAACAGGTAATGTTAAAACGCATCAAATATCTGCACCGAAACAGCTGTTGCGACGCTCTGTTGACTTACTCAACCCGGTTACAGCGTTCAGCAGCGTCCATGCGAAATATAAACATTTCTTTTTCGGTTATTCTACAATATCGAGCCACTGTAGCAATTAACGTATGTTATACCAGTCGTCGTTGTCACACACTTTATGCTGGGGCGTCTGAACGGATCAATACATCATCAGATAAAGGCTTTGATGGGTATTTGAACGAACGGATATCGGCATAGAAAGTAGTATTGTGTTCATTTCATTGATGCTGGCCAATGCACGTTGTGTGTGGCTTCCGAACTAGCATCTTGCAGTGGGAATTTGTGAAGGCATTCCTATCAAGACGGTATGAAAGTGTCACCATGTAATATCAAATCAGCCATGTTTAAATAGCAAACGTGTGATAAATGACACACATCCCACACTAGAAGAAAAATACAGATTGGTGTTATTGGAACTCTCGTGTCAGATCATCGTTTGATGTTTCCAAATTTTGTTACTTTATCTCATACTGTACGCTTAATGTATTAATGGATAAATTGATGGATGGATGGATGGATATATATATATACGAGATCTTTATTAATTTAATACTCTAAACAACATTTCAAACCTCTGTTGCGTTTCTTTTTATACAACACAAACATACACCGAGTTTATAAACTATTTCTGAAAAGTGCAATCGATATTAATTCTGGTGAGAAATAGCTCGAGTGGAATGTTATCTGGGCTCTGTAAAGTCGAAACTGGCAGACATAAAAGTACAATAGTACGACGTTGAATAACATGTTTTTGCTTCCGATTTTCGAGACAAGACACCTCAGTGAGTCTAGGCCACGGCCCAGGAGACACGGGCAGCGAGACGGGGACATCCAACAATCTGTGGTTTCCTGGGCCTTCTTCGCCCGAGATGCTTGTTACATTACAACTCGCGCATCACGTTCCATGTAATGTCGGGAGCACATACAGAACAGTCTGTACCAGCCGTTACAAAAGTTGAGATTTTGAAACGATCGTCGCCCGATTAAGACACATAAAAAGTCAGATTTTGGCAAAGAAAACTTTACTTGTTTTGCATCGCCATCTGTTTATGGTGATGTTGTCGCAGAGTGTACACAAATTTCCCCGACACTTCGCTTATCAACAAAGGTGTTATCATGCAACAGTTCAACCATTGTTAGGATCTCACCAATTATCCAATCATGGTCACCGTTCCTTCAGATACGTCTGGAGTTTTATCAATACCCATGATGAGCAGAACTGGCGCCCTGCAAACAAAAGTATTAATTTAATATATTCTTAGAAGGCACAAACAGGTCCAGCAGCACGATTTCCCCGTGTCATGGCACAGTCCGCTCTGCCCACTCTCAGCTCTTGGCCTCGACTCATACACAATACTCTTGATTTGACATTTGCAATGTCGAGGCGTCACTGGGATATTCATAATCGTGTATATGTCCGCCGCAAACAAGCATTTGTCCCCCAACACGAGCTGCGACATACGATGCCAGTGTGATTCAACCACCTATTTATACAACTCTCACCATAGGAGATTTGCATAGTAATCTCATTCCCAGGGCTATTCATACATTGTACACCTGATAGATTTCCGATGGTATCCAACCGCCTACCACACAAGAAAGGCAATTAGGTTTCCCGTCACATGAGCTATCAATTAAGAGACCAGCCATTATGTCTTCTTATGGACCGACAGTTTAGTTGAGGAAAGCATCTTGTCCCGGGCAAAGTGTCCACTTTGTTTGTTCTATGGTAGCAAGGGTTGTAAATACATAAAAACTGTATGAAGAGTAAACGTTTCAAGAACAGAAGTAAATGAGTTATACGGAAACCTGTAAACTTTGACATGTTTTGGATAAGTATCAACACAATCTGCCTTGAGCGAACTATAATCCCTACTGCTAGGTGCTTCATCCCTTAAATAACTCTCAAAAAAATGTAGGGGATCATGACAAAAATATGTTTTGATCAGTTTTGAAATATGCCAGAGATAAAACGGTAGCCAATATGTTGCAGACACAAAATGTTTATCGTCGGTCCCCACAAGGCGCCCTAGGTCAGCAACACAATCCCAAGATCGATGAATCAAAAACCAGGCTTAAAGATAGAGTCAAAAGACGCTGTTCACTTGCGCCGGGCCACCGGAGTCCAAGCTACTGACCAGATTAGAAATCGTCATGCAGCTATTTCTCATGCTCGGCGACCATGTGTTGTACCACCGTTACCAAAACGAGTTCTAGCCAGACGCCAATGGTGTGTGCTCATGGCGTAGAAACTGGGGAATTCGCCAGTTGTACCGTGTAATGTTTTCAGATGAATCCAGATTCACTGGGTGGGCGTGGACGTGTCAGGGGAGGCCCTAACGAACGCCGTGCAAACGTCAACGTAAGGCAACGTAACAGACTTGAGGGTGGGTTGGTAATGATATGGGGCTGGACCAATATGACTGTCAGTACGTTACTGTATGTTGTCCATGGAAGGGTCACTGGACAGTACTACCGAAGACAACATAGAGATGCCAACTGGTGTTTGCGTTCTAGCCAGACGCCAATGATGTTTATGGCGTAGGAATGTTGTCAGATGAGTCCAGATTCACTGGATGGCCGTGAACGTGCCTGGGGGAACGTGTCAGATTTGATGTTTTGTTTCTTTGTTCTTTAACGCGACACTCAGCAATAGTATATACATAATGGCGGTCTGTAAATAATCGAGTCTGGACCAGTCAACCCAGTGATTGACATCATGAGCATCGATCCACGCAATTGGGATACGATGACATGCACCAATCAAGTCAACGAGCCCGACCACCCGATCCCATCAATCGCCTCTTACGACAAGCGTAGTCGCTTTTTACGGCAAACATAGGTTGCTGAAGAGCTATTCGGACCCGGATCTTCACGGGTGACAGATTTGAGCGTTGGTTGGTAATAATAATTGGGCTGGACATCTAAGGCAACCAGTACGCTACTGTATATTGTCCAAGGTAGGGTCACTTGACAGTACTACCGAGACAACATACTGGTGCCATCTGGTGTCGTTTGCGAGCCATGCAGGTCCACGTGTTTTCTCTTCCAAGACGATATAGACCATGCCCACGTGTACGTACCGTAACTGACTACCATCAGCAGCACGACAACTTCAGAATGCAATGGCCAGCCGTGAGGCCCCACCTTTACCCCATAGAGCAAGCCTGGGACATGATCGTGAGACGCCAAAGGCCACTAACTGCGTTAACTAAACTGGGCCAGTCGCTTCAAGAGTAGTGGACGAATGTTTGACGAATCGTAGGGGCATGAACCATTATTGATCTTGTCATCTCATACGTTCAATTTGTGAGCCAACATGTTCTGTTGATTGTCATGTTGATTTGATTGTCTAGTGCTTCTGTTTTTCTATCCATCGATTACCATCACTCGATACCTTTTTGTTTTTCTGTAATCATCTACATTTTTTAATGTATATCTTTGGACTTGATTATTACCAGAATTACCTTTCTCGTTTTCAGCTTTCCAAGACACCTACTTCGATGAAGACCCAAGTGACCCGCTGCCTCGTTTCCTGCCTAACCCCAGTAACTATACGTATCGTGTTGGACAAACCGCAGTGTTAAAGTGTGAAGTGGAGAACCTAGGTGAAAAGAAGGTGAGTCAGACATCCACCTTGCCGCGCCAATAATCTGCGTATACGTTATATAACGGGCCTTCCTCACAACAATGCCTGTGCGAGCAGGTTCATGGTGTCCTCCCGTCTTGGGGTCGAATGTCCGGGATGTTTGTTTGTTTGTTTGCTTTTAACGCCGTACTCAGCAATATTCAAGCTATATTACCTGCATATAATCGCGTCTGGACCAGACAATCCACTGATTGACATCTCGAGCATCGTTCCACGCAATTGGGTTTCGATGATATGCATCAACCAAGTCAGCGAGCCTGACCACCCGATCCCGTTTTACGGCAAGCATGGGTTGCTGAAAACCTTTTCTATCCCTGATCTCCACGGGTCTGTCCAGGACGTACACAGCGTACGTTAATCCATGCCAACGACAACAGTACATTATATGAACTGATCATCACAAGAAGTAAAAGCGAACGATGCTGTGTATAGTAGCATGATGTTTGTTTATTTGTTTATTGTGTAACGCCGCAATCAGAAATAGTCCAGCTATATGACGGCGGTCTGTAAATAATCGAGTCTGAACCAGACAATCCAGTGATTGACACGCAATTGGGATACGTTGACATGCATCAACCAAGCCAGCGAGCCTGACCACCCGATCCCGTTAGTCGCCTCTTACGACAAGCATCGGTTGCTGAGGACCTATTCTACCCCGGATCTTCACGGGTCTATAGCATGACGAAGCACTGCGACAATTCGGTGTACATAAACACACAGTACGTGCACAGCTTATTATACATTTTTAGATAAATAGCAATTTCCATAACTCTCATCCCGTATTAGTTTTCTAACTAAACACATTGAGATATTGAGATACAGCACTGAGGTCGATGTATAGGTTAGACCACGAGAATCCGATACTTAATGGTTGAAATGCTCAGTTTAACCACGAACAAATATTTAGACTCATAGTTTTAATTAAAAAATCTCTGGCTTTGCAGCTGTAGCTGAAAACATCTGTTGTCTCCATACAAATGGATGTCCCTAATTTCGCTGTGTGTTGTTTATCGAAACGCTACCAAATCACACACACGTACAATGCATAGAATAACATAAAACCTACTGCATAAACACATGTTTACCGTTCATTAACGGATGAACTATTCCTCCAGTTGTGGGTAAATATTTAGTTGTTCATTTCATAACGGGTCTTCAATGTCAGAAGAATACAATCGTTAGCATCACATGCGAACTTGGTGGGTTCAAACCTGCTGCAACTCACGTTTTCGTGACATGGTTCTGTCATCAAGGAAAATAAACAAGGCAAAAACAACAAGTTCCCTATTTTGCCATGTGGTGTTTAAGTAACAATTCAGTCATGGTTTAAATCTAGTAATTTATTATGCAACTGTCCCGGGGTAATAGGTGTTTTGACGACCTGTTCAACTGATTCTTCTGTGTTATCTACGTGGAGAAACCTACAGTGGTCTCTTAGAAGCTTTCGGTTGTATCTTAATTATTTAACAAAAGGTGATCAATACTTAGTATCTTTTGTCGACTGTTTCAAATTAAATATTGTAGTTGCATTAATCACCAACGAAATAATAGCGTGAAGCTGTCTGTTGGTAGTAATTCTACACACAAAAGTTCTGAAAGATATGTGGGTATTTTTTAAATACTTTTTTTTAATTTGAAGTTGACACGATATACGGCTTTTCCATTGGACGAGATGTTGGTCACGTGACCGTGAAACTGAAGTTCGTAACTGTATGAACGACACATTTTGACGCTCATACGTTTTTCATGAGACCGTATTCGTATGAAATGACGTAAACACTGATTTCTTATACATTCCTTGAGAAACCACGGGGAATTCCCTCGCACAGAAGCGTAGTTTCTCATCATTTAGACACCTTTAATCTTTAAATCATACATTGAGATAACTTCGAGAGTTTGATTGCATGCCCGTTCAAGAAAAGTACATCCAAATTATCATTGTATCGACTCGATCCGTGTCTAGACTACAGTGACAGTCTACCAGCTATCTATGAATTTACCTTCGTATCAATTTGACACATCTTTACAATCACCTTTCAATGATCGGCCAGTTGATGACTAACACTTGTAATAGCCACAGGTTCATTAACAACTTGAGAAATCTCTCCCGTCACGTTTGTCCTGTTGGCCATTTTGGCGTCTTGGACTTGTTGCAAACATACGTTCATACAGTTCGGCCCTCACTCTGTGAAGGTTCATACTCCAATAACTCACTCAAAGTGAACGTCAATTCTTAAATGAACATCCTCATAGTGCGACGTTGATGTTATTTGTCGGGAAATCAGATGCAAACGTTATCCTCAATTAGTAAACATTGCATTGTACATTAATATTCATAATCATTATAACAATCCCCGTTAATAATCCTGTCTTTATATAGAGAGAATCTCACCGAGTGTCTTCTTATCTCAAATATACAACACAGGTCGCTAATAGTTTAAGATTCCGAGACTTGCAGATGTGTTTTAAACTTTTAATGACCTGTGTTGATATATTTGATATCAAAAGACACCCAGCAGTCTGGAGTGTTAACGAATACCGAAAACCAAGCCATCAATGAATTCGTAATTCAAAGGCTGGCTGTTTGTTGAACAATGTAATGTGGTCCAATACACTGAAACTCACGGAGTGATGTTCGTGTGACATGTGTAACATGTTTAGTTGAGAAGTACTTTTGAATAGCGAAACACGAACAGCGCCAGTTATTCAGTTTATTTCCAAATATTCTATGAAATATAAGATAGTTTATCTCTCAACAGCTGTTTCGTTATTCAGTACTTTTGAATAACGAAAACAAGCAAGCACCGGGTTCGTTATTCAGACTTAGTATAACAAATAGAAGATATTTCCAGCGGGTTCGTTATTCAGACTTGGTATAACAAATAGAAGATATTTCCAGCGGGTTCGTTATTCAGACTTGGTATAACAAATAGAAGATATTTCCAGCGGGTTCGTTATTCAGACTTGGTATAACAAATAGAAGATATTTCCAGCGGGTTCGTTATTCAGACTTGGTATAACAAATAGAAGATATTTCCAGCGGGTTCGTTATTCAGACTTGGTATAACAAATAGAAGATATTTCTAGCGGGTTCCATTTAAGTTATTCGTTTTTCCAAATGTATTTTTTGTAATCCCCGCTTGTCCTTACGATGTAGAACATATTGCCACTTATAACACCAAATATGTACATGCATATTGAGTATAACTTATATGTTGTGTTCTATAATGACTAGAATCAGAGCAGGGTGCACGTTGTCAAGTATCTGAAGCACTGTTGAGGATATATTCGTCTCAGCGTTAGTCATGATCAAGTTCATTGTTCCAAGAGAGGGGACATCCAAAGTGAAATAACAGTAACCGTTTTCCAGAACATTTTGTTTGTTTATTTGCTTGTGTGTTTGTTTGTTGTTGAACGCCGCGCTCAAAATATTCCAGCGTTGGAAATATGGTATCTTATATTTGATATACCTAGTCGGAATACCGAACCAGGTGCTGATTAGTGTTTCGTTATTCCAAAGCACTGATTAACTAAACAGCTTGTGGACGATGGTACACCTGTGAGATGGACGAACATTACTGCGTGGGTTTCAGCGAATTTGACCACATCAATGCTATTGTTTAATATACAGTATTTGAATAACGAATCAGCAGCTGGCTTGTTTTTCGTGATTCGAAATACATTTCAAATACTTAGTAGAGGATTTATTAATAAAGTTAGCAGGAGAAATACCTTCGTTTAGCATTTTTGAAAACTATTTCTATTACCTAAAATGGGAGATTGCATATTCGACTTCCAAGAAATGACATCTCCCGCTGCTTTCCAAGAAATGACTTTGGGATTCCAAACAGTGCCCAGAAGGCTGCAATGAAGTTAAACCAAATATCTGTGGATTATGTTTAGAGGGTTGTTTGTCAACTTCTTTTTGAAAACTATGTGTTTGAAACCTTTTTTTTGAAATAGTCAAGACTATGTTTATTTTAGAAACTTTAGTAATACTTGTTACATTTATAACAACTCCTTTTCGGAATGTTCTAGGATAGCGGACCTTTGTGTCCTGTGAAGGTACGCATTGCAAGAGATCACCATTTTATAAGCGTCCTTGCCCTCATGATAGAATAGAGGTAAACCATCATATCCAAAGTATCTTCTCTACAGTGGGACATCAATTTCAAAATTGCCTGAGACTAAAATGTACTGCTAATCAGCCTCAGTAGCAGAGATATTAGTGATGTCATTGTATTGTGACGGGATGGTTACCGATGACGTCACGATTGTCTGCAAAGCATTGTGATGGTGTTTCATTGCAGCCATGTCTTCATTCGTGACCAACTCGTGTTATTCCGGGACAAGTCGAATGGCGACTCGTGTCCCCCTCGTGGCCATTCTTACGACTTGGTTCCGTCTGAGCGCACACGGGCATAACTAAAAGAATTGTCAACTCGTTGCGTAATGATTCACGTATATATCCTCATACATCATATACATGTACTCGTATTTTCCATTGTGCTATTGAAAACACACCAGGACTTACATTATTTCACAAATACGATTGAACACATTTAACAGGTATATTTTTAAATGCAAGGCATAAGTAATTTTTTTTTAAATACTCCTGCGGGATTCTTTGACGGAAGTACTTGAAGTTATATGCGCATTCTGATTGGTTTGTCGTATTTTTGTACATAACATTAATCGATAGGGGGACGAGTCTTCTTGCTGGTTACGGAAAGGGGCGAGTGGTGACGAATGCGATGTCATCTGTTGATGTCAGTTTTGAATAATAAAATGTAACGTTGACAAAGAATATATTTATTTAAAAATAAGAAATTCTAAAACATCCCCGCACGATTATTTCTTTTCAAACAGCAACACAACATGGCAGCAGAGTGCCCCTCGGCAGTCGCAAACGCCTGTGACGTCATGACGTCAACGTCAACATCGAACGTACATCAACTTACAAGGAATGA